AGAAGTAAGAAGTCTCTATTTTGTTGATGTGTTCATAGGCAGAGTTAATTTAAACTAGAGTTTGGTTTGTTTTTTTTTGAGAAGTATGATTGCTTTTTGCTGTGATATTGCTCATTCAGCTACCTAGAGAATCCTTTAAAAGCATATTTATGTTTTGAAAGAGTCTGTAACTTAATGGGATCAGTATTCAYATCTTCCACCAACATTTGCTGCTTTCTCATCCTTACTAAAAGGGTCRTAATAGAAATAAAGACAGGCTATAGAAAGTTACTTCAGCTAAAGTAGTATGATGRCATTTTCTGTTCCTTGATGAATAAATTTGTGAATTTGATTCTTGATTTTGTTGGCATTTGGGCTCTGGCATATTTAGAAAGTTGATCATGTATCTCAGAAGCAATCTGCTGAATAGAGGTTTCAATGTATGAGTATTTCTAGTCCTTCAAAAAAAAAGTTGCTGATTATGGTGCATTTATGAAATTAGTCAAATTGCAGAGTTGGCTTAAATGTGTGCAATCATGAAATKTAAATAACACACACGTTTCAGAAATGCAATTCTGAAATTCTGATGTGCTGAAACACTCCATAAAACTTCATTTGATCTCATTGAAAAGGGGGTAAAACCCTAAAACTGGTGGAATGAATGGAGTAATATTTATGTATTTACCTTTTTGTTTAATTTTACAAATAGGGTTTCTTTCTCCTTTGGTCACATTGCCACACGTAAAAATAGAAAGTTTCTCTTTTGTTGTTTCTTCCTTATAAATAAAGCTTTATATAGACCAGAATTCCTTACAAAAATCAAAGCTGTCTCTCTTGTCAAGTTCMGCTGGTGCATTTTGGGCTTATTTGCTTAGAATTTTTTCCCTTTTTCTTGGAGGTCAGGTTTGTCAAAGCAGAGAACCCCTGTCTCCATCATTGTTAGGCATCTTCTTCCCTTCCAGCAAATCTTTCTTGTATAAGCCAGCATTTCTGATCTGTGAGAGCCACTTGTGTAATTCAAAATATTGAAGTGGACAAACAGCATTGATTTATGTTAATGACATAAGCTTTGTGCAGYTCTGTGTACTAGTTCTCTAGTACAGGATATACCCAAAACCTCAACAGAGGTCCTGATGTACAAGATATGGGTTTCAGTGGTGTCTTCCATCAGTTTAGTTTAACATACTTAAAAATTGGTTTGGTTCTTGTTAAAACGGAAGCTCAACTGGTAAAAAAGCTGCTACCTGGGTGCATGGTGGTTCAAACAGTAGTTGCCAAAAGCTTTATTTTTCATGTGTGCATGTAAACCTGAACAGAAGGAAATTTCAAACACTGTTTTAGATGTGAGTGAAAGTGATTCTACCTGTAAGTTTCACCCATTCCCTTTCCTCARTGTTTTCTCTAAATATCCTGTGCGATAGTTTCCGGTTGGTCTGAGTGACACTAGTAGTCCCTTAAAGCCTTTGATGGAAATTCTGATCAGTCACATCAGCTATGAAGGGCTGAAGTGGCCAACGGTGGCAAGAGTTTCTGTTCTTCCCAGCGGTCACCAAATAATCTCAGAGCAGTGAAAGCTTTCCATAGATTTGTTTCCCTTTCCCCCACCTGCCTGCCTCTAACTTTTTTCAACACAGAGCTGAAATATTAAATTTTAGCATAAGCCAAGGAGGAAAGGAGCTGCAGACAAAGATTTTCATTGCTAATTTAATGAAAACTTCAAGAGCAAGAGCTGAAGGATCAGGCCAAAACACGATCTTCATTCATATTCATTGGAAAGACCTTAMTTTATTTTCACTGTTTCCAAAATTCTGCAGTACGGTACCAGCCACACAGACCTTCTCACAGAGATAGTGGCGTGCCAGTGATTGTACTATATATAACACTCTGATGGTTTACACATAAAAATATCAGCTGAAAACTGTAGTCCCAGTTTTAACAGATTTGAAGGCTCACTGTAGATTTGTATGTCTATTCATAAAAGTTGAACAAGTTGCTACACACCTGTGTTTGCCAATATTGTGATTTTATTATAAATCAGATATTACAGCATTTGGCTTCTTTTCAATTAATTTGAATTATGTTCTTCTTCAGTGTTAATTAACTGAGAGCTTCAAGATCTAAAAGATAAGACTATAATACTTTGGTACATTTCCTCTAAAATGCCTTTTATGTGATTTCTTAGCTACACTGAGTTTTCAGCCAGAAACATGAAACAGTTCTAACTTGCAAAGTGTTGGAATTTTAGGTCTCTGAATGCATSATCTTCATGGGCTGCCTCCTTTTAGAACTTAAAATAAAATTATCTATCCATTATCTGAAAATTTCTAAATAACTTTTATTTACATAAAAGTGAAACATCGGCTCATTTTGAAAATGTCTGTGGTTTTCTCAGCATTAGAGATCTGCTGGGATAAACAGACAGGACATGCTGGAGCAGAGGTGTTCTAGCCGAGCTCCTCACCTCTCTCTCTCTCCATTCTCTGTGGTTTAAGGAAAAGGTTTAATGCAGGAGGAATCACACAGTACATTTCTCTCTTTATTCCTTGGCATCACATCCAGATTTTATCACACATTGTAGCTTGGTATCTCCATGTTGCCAGTCCAGGACAGTTAACTAGTCTATTGAGAACAGTGTTGTACAGATTTCACAGGTAATGATGGAAAAACTTCCAAAGACTAGATTTAAACTGGAAATTTATCACTTCATGCATTTATTTCTTGCTGCTGTTCAATTTAGAAAGATATGCATTCTGAATACAGTTAGATGATTCTGAAGCTTCCTTAAGTCAGTATAGCTTGTACCTGTAAAAAATATCTCAGTGTAATRGCAGAAACAGTATTTTTTACATTTCCTATATCTCAAAGAGAAAAATCACATAATTAATATATTTGAAAGGGGATAAAAGTTGTGCTCTGATGACATAAAAAATCTCAGTAATGGGGAATGGCCCAAGCCAAATTTTGCAGATGCCATGATGTAATTATACTGTAAAGAGAAAATATGGAAAAAAATTGTGTARAATTTCCAAGCCCCTGAAAATACCCCAACACACTTCTTTCCTTCTCACCATTTTTATATTATTATAATTTTAAAAACCAATTCATGTTATGAACACCTTAAAGTTTAGAAACCATATTCGTTTCTRTTCAGGGTGTGGGAGAACAAGTTGTAATTGCTTTTCTTTACAAATGGGTCTCAGCTTGAAGTGAATGGGATTTAAAACCCTCCCCTCTCACATGTTCTATTTGCTAATTTAGGTGATTTCCTCAACATGTCCAGCATGCATGATAACCATGAAAAGAGTAGGCTGGAGTGGGAGTGCAAAATGGGGATAAAATGCTTTTCTTGCCTCTGAGCATGAGTTTTGAGCCACCAAGCCAGGGAAGGGAAGGAAGGGAAGGGAAGGGAAGGGAAGGGAAGGGAAGGGA